CAAAATCTTATATTGTTATGCTATATGTAACTTTATTTATTGTTTATTATTATGGAATAAATTTTTATCTATTTATATTTTATTTATGTAGGACATGAACAATGGAATGGAATATCAATAGGTACCGAAAAATCGTTCGAAACTTCGTGTCTGTGTATTCTTCACGTGTAAAAATTACACCTTTTTGTCGTCGAAAAAAGTCGTCGTCAAAAGTCGAATGACATAAAAATCTGCCTTTTTCAAAAATTTCGCCTATGCACGTGTGACGTCACGTTACAACACGCTGCACTCGCAGTACTGAATCACTTATACATTATACAATAACTTAAGTCGTGTGCCCTTTATGTAGTAGTGCTAAAGCACAGGTATTTATAATGGATGACGTAACTGACTGACTTAAGATAAGTCACATTTGAAGTATGCGATTTAATCCAATTGTCAATGCAGGGCGCGCTGATGATGAAGTGAAATAATCTATCTACAGTAAATTTTCCATTTCTTTCGCGATCCTCGTAATATTGATTTTTTATATTGTAGAGTACGTTTACTTTATCAAATTGTTTCTTGTTATGTGCTTCGTTTTTTTTTTGAGAAAGTCAATTTGTAATTCCACCGTCGAATTGATTTATTTAGAGCTGTGCTGTATTTTGCTATCAGAACTTTTGCATTTTTTCTGGGACAAATTTAACTCTCTTCTCTCTTGCAAAATGTTAGTAATAACTAACCAGTAATAAGACCACCAAAACTAACAGCCAAGATTAAATCTCTATAAGATTTGTATAGCGATTGGCACCGCAGCTGGCAGCCGAATGAGTTAGCAGTAATTCATACGCATATACGTATGCTAAAAACTTAATTAGTATTTGGGCTGCCATCGATGACGATGCTTACACGCTTCCAAGCCATCGTCAAGAGCAGAAGGTTAGGTGCTGCGTAAAATCGATATCTTGTGCGTGTTATAACACTCATATATTTTTATGCAGTTTCTTCTCCGGATGCCGTAACCTTTTTGTTGTATAAAACAACAAAAACATTAATAATCAAAATTTACTTTTTTATATTTCAAATTCTAAGCTATTTCAAATTCTAAGTAATTCTAAGCAATTTATATGTATTATGTTTAAATCAACTGAAATCTTTGAATCTTATCTTATCATATAATTATGATTATGATTCTTGAAACCATTTTGAAATGTGCACTGATTTCCATGTCTTTGAGTTTGACCTTACAATTACAAATCGGTGTATTATTATTTTTTCATTAATTTTAGGCTTTGAAACGTCGAAGATGCAAGATTTACGGGACCTAATCCGTCTGTTAAAACAGGAACCTGTACGAGCAAACTCAGCACGATGCCGCTGTCGATGTCACTGATGCCAAAAATACTATCAATCATCATCATTCATGTCATCGTACTACTACAATTCTATCACGTTTTGAACTAATTCTCCAGTTTTTCTATAAACCTCCGCATATTCTCGGGCACTAGAATGATTAAAATGATTGTATCGTAGTTCAGTAAGTCAAAGAACTGACCCTAGAAAGATAACCTACATCTCAGACAGAAGGTTCGGTGCGGTGAACATTTATCTATTACTTTTTATTCAGTTTTAGAATGAACCCGTATGGAAAGGTCGAGGGTTTTATAAATGTTTACGGTGGTCACAGTTGATATATAATCATGCTGACGTTGGGTTGGGGTTATTCGAACTTACTTCTATAAGCCAATTCTGCTCAAATCGCAACTGAATAGAATCTCAACTTTAACCTTTTTTCTATCTACCTAAAGTCCAATACTATTAGTACAATGTCTTCTTCATACACCAATGATGACAGATATAGCAAAAGAATAGAACGAGCCATGTGAGGAATTAAATTGCGTGATCGAATCTCTAATACGGAAATGCCCAGACGCATCAAATTACCGATATGGCTCGTGTCGTTGCACGAAGGAAGTGGCGTTAGGCGGAGCACGTTACGCGCGGTACAGACAACCGGTGAAGCTACAAGATATTGGAATGAGAGTGGCTGTTGAGAACAGGAACAGGAGCTAGATGGTCAGACGATATCTCCAAAGGCGGTGAAGAACTGGCAAAGGAAAAGTCCGACGAAAATGGGTTGAAGAAGAAGAAAACTCAAAGGGGAAAGGGACCCTATAACAGATTCCGCTTTCCGTCCGTCTGTTACCAGACTGTATCACATGAATCATCATAGCGGTACAATTGAAAGATTTAGTTATATGTGACATTAATCGACCATGATCGAAACTTTTGTTTGATTATTTTTATTTGAGATGATAACTTATTTTAGAAAATAATAATATTAGCAAAGTAATTTCAAATCCACGCATTCGAAAGTCATTTGCCCCTGAGACATATTATACGTATATCTTTAATGTATGTTTTGATATGGTTGTTTTTCTGGGTCTAATTACTCTGTATTCAATGCAAAGATCAGGTACTGAATCACTTGTTGGCATTGGGATGAACCAAACTTAAAGCGCTGCCGAATATTATATTTATAGCTAAGTAATATCAAAACTCTGTTTCGAAGCTGATTTTGGCATAAAATTCTGAGACCTGTTGAATCCCTGCTGAATTTTTTATATCTGTTAAGAATAAGTTTCTTACAAATCTTAACTCTTACGAATTATTTACATTGTATTAACCATTTTACATACTTCACATTGCGCCATGGCCGTCACGTGTTCCAGTACCTGAGATTCCCACTAAAGTAGTTTATATATTTATATACTCTTAGTACTCACAACTGATACAAACCTCTTGCACATTTTTGTCATGTACTCTTGTACTTATAATAAGTATTACCTTTCGAATATTAAATAGTTTTTAAAATAATAATATTATAATTATTTTAGTTTTTATCATTATAATATTATATACTACTACGCAGCTCACTTAAATCCTAATTTGAACTTATGATTTAAAGGCCACTATCGACTATTCAATAATTCATATTTCCTTGGAGAATTAGGTAATTAAAGGAAATTCTTTTCTTTACTCATGAACAAGCGCAGAAAAGATTCTCAAAAAAACAATTATCAAGTACTATTGTATTAAATAAGACTTAATAATTGAATAGCTCTAAAAAGCATGTGAATCAACGAAGTAAAATCGTACATGAATTTAATATAGCAACTACAGACATATTATTTTTTATATATTTAGGTATTCGCCTAAGCAGTATATCCGTGTGCGCATTAAATCGACCGTGTGTGTGATCCTAGTCACCTTACTGGTTATACTATGGTTATTTGTTGCCTCTCACCCTAACAACATTGAGACCCAAAAATGAGCTATTGCGCAGTCACTATTTTTGTTGAAATTGCGTAACGCGCATTATACCAGAAAGAAAATATTAAAACCTACTTCCGAAAAAGGCCTCCTGATTCCACCCTTTGATCTAGAAGTAGCTACTAATCAAGTGCAGGATTATATATGTACTTTATCACATAAATGTTTAAAAATCAAAAATATCTATTAATAGTTTTTTATGGTATTACCAGGACAATGTACGTACTTAATCATTAGTTTATCTAGTAATAAATATTGTAATTATAAATTTTAATTTGTGTATAGCCAACAAAAGAATTTCCTTTCCTTTATTGACAATAATAAATACATACACGTCAATAACAATAAAACTCTCAAAATACAGTGCACATACTCGCTTCGAAGACTTTTCTTCCAAGCGAGCTAGGTGGCAAAGTAGTTAGCTTGTTCAGGCTGCAATACGGAGGTTAAGTAACTATAAAAAGGACCAGTAGAAAAGAGACCAAAATTTATCAATACTCCTTGTTTCAAGGCACGTTAAACCGTTGGTGCGACAGCATCTAATGCGAATGCATTCAATAGCACCCGCAAATTCACACTCGCTGTGAGTTCTGCATGCGTAGTATGACAAACTCGAGAAACGCTTTGTCTACTTCTCGTCAGTTTCTCGGGTCGAGAGTAAGATATAGTATGGGCGCACGCGAGAAAAGTGACATTTGAGAGTAGACAAAACGTTCTCGAGTTCGTCATGCTACGCGTGTTGGCCCGTTCTCTCTATTCGATTCTATCGATATAGAAAAGTGCCACATCAGTGGGGACAAATTAAGCTGATGATAGTAATGAAACTAGTAAAGTGATTTTCATTAGTAAAATTGAACTTAGGTAAATAATTTAATTAATAGATTCCGATAAGAGTAAACACTATTAACAGAACTACGATCGACGTCAATTTCGTTATCACGAGACTATTTTATTTTTTATTATTACTTTGCATCGTCACAAATCTTATTAACGTTACGGGTGATTTAAGGTAAATAAAGCTTCTTTCATATTTAAAAAAGAAACTTATCCAAAATTATATAACCAGAAGAACCTAAGTGTGATTAATGTCTTTTTTTTCAGAAACTATATACACCATGACTATAACAGAAACGAAAGCTTGTATTATCATTGAAAACATTGTCGGAATATATAGAAACTATAGTGTGTTCAGCCGAATGAAAAAACTATTAGCGATTGGAAGAATAATTCTAGAACTCTCATTAACCTTATGTATATGTATTGATAACATCATCAGAATTTGCAAAAAGGATAAAGTTTACGTAATGCCAATAGTCTTTGCAATCTCGTTAGTTTTTAGTTTTGTATATTTATTTGTTGATTCTATAAGAAGCAGTCGAAAATTCATGATTTTGCTTGAAAATTTCAATAGCATGACTGATGATTACAAACATATAAAAGTAAAAAGATACATAATACTATATAAAACAATAGTTTTCACATATGCTGTCGTTGGTGTTGCTGTCAATATAGTATTGCGAGAAAATACTAGTCAACTTAATCCCCTAACTGTTGGAAAACTAATACGACATACTTTAATAGAAACACGATATTTTGTGGAGTTCTATGTGTATATATCTTTGGTATCACAAATGACATTTTTGATAGAATGTATTGATACATCCATAAACAGTATGTTAAGGAAGATGTTGAATAATGATAAAATTGAGCATCAAGACAATGTTGAGGAATGCACAACAAATTTGAGTTGTCATGTAAAGGACGTCCAATATTGGGCAGTACATTGTCGAACATTGATAAGTTGCAACAAAAAATTAAACGATTGTTTAAGTAGTCAGGTAAGACTTAAACACGATAATCAATTGAATTCACCTGAGAACAATATGTATTTGATTATAAAAATTTCGTCAACACCAAAATCTTGAAGTCCTTGATACAACTCTATTTTTATATTGTTTTCTTAGTTGCAATTGCTCGATCCTATATATGCCAAGTTAAATATAGTAATAAACCAGCGCGCAACAGAAGGGTAGGATCTCTAAGTAGATTTAACTGAGGAAATCATTACAACGATAAGAATTTTAACTTCACACTTGTATTTTGAGTTATCTCTTTATGCTAAAACTTTTGCCAAAATCTTTTTAATGTTTACGCAAAAGCCTACGGTCAAAAATCACTCAAATGATTTTAGAAAAATCTGGAGCTGGTGTACTTTTTAAGCATTTTTCATTAAAATATTTATCAGCATAATTAATGTGAATTCAAATTTGATCAAATTTATAAACAAAATATATTTCTTTTCAGCTTCTCGTCTCAGTTGGTAACGATTTGTTATACCTTATTTTTGGAATAAGTGAAATAATACGGCAGTTTTCAGAATCGGTGAGTTGTCAATAATTTATCATTAATGTGTTATATAACCTGCACCATGTACTGTTACTGATCATTTTGTTACAATAATTCGTGAGAAAGATGCGAAAGTTGACACTTTAGTTTGTTGAAGTATTAAAGTACTGTAATATCCTTCCACGTTACTCCAGATATACTCTTTTCTATTAGTTTGTGTATTGTTGTGGTTTCTGGCTGACCGCTTCAAAGTGGATTTAATTCAAGTTATTATGGTTTTTCATTTCTTTTTCATAAGTCTGTGCTATTGAGAACAAAATCGCAGATCAAATGTTCCAAAGCTTTTAATTAAACAAATCCTTAACCACCAATCCCGGATCCAATCCCTGAAGTAAAAGCTCGAGTGAAATTAGAAGCACAGGAAGCATTACAGAGGAAACGGCTGTACTGCAGTTCTACAATACTCATACCCAATCCGTAGGTAAGGTGACGGCGACGGGAATCAGACTTCTAGCGATGATAATATCATCTAATATAAATCACTTTTAATATTATTACCGATTGTGTCCTAGCCACCACGTATTCCATCACCTTACCACCATATAATCTACATAATTCTCTTAATAAATTCTTATTACTTTTACATCCTGAATTTATCAATCGTTATAAAACTCCTTGGATATTTTTGTCACGGTCTCATATACATTTAAGATGAATTTCATTCAAATCCTTCAAATACTTTTAGAATATTTTAGTAATAGTTAGAGTTACCCTTATCCAAAAGCTCTTCATGCTCTAAATTATAACCATATCAAAAAATATAAATTAAACAGCATAACTATTAAATAATTTTTGGTATCATCCATGTTGGATATTTTAAAAGTATGTTGAAGCTAAGAATAATTTTAGTTTAAGCCCTTTATCTTGTTTACAGGTATTCGACGATCAAAGGATTGTTTTAGAAAATACTCCAGTTTTTATGACCAATTTGACATCGACAAGTCTCAATATAATAATTCTTACATATATCTGCCAAAAATTACACAATGCATGGGATGGTCTAACTAATTCACTCATAAGAGTACAAATCGGTTTACTAAAAAGTAAGTAAAATTTAGTATCAAAAAATCTTAAACGACCAGGGATTAGAACAGTATCCAAAATTTTATAATTACAAACACTTTTTATAAACTTCAACCATCACCGTCGTTTGTTGTTACATTTTATCACATTAAGATTAAAATAAAAGTTTTAATGAAACTATTTTAGTTGTTCCAGACCCTAAATTCCTAAAAGATTGTAATCATTTTTCTGCTCTTATACCACTTTAATTGGGGTTTACGTGTTATGTCCTTATCTCTCTTTATTCTTGGTTAGTCATCTCATCCTGTGATCTCATCCCTTTATCCATATTCGTTTATATCATTGTACCTATATGCTTTATCCTTTCTAAAAAAAAATTAAATTATAGGTAAAATTGTCTATTTTAGATCCTGATACTCCGGAGATACGTGTTGTACGTGATCTGGTGCGACTGATGAGCCAGGAGCCGGTGCGGGCTTATCTTCTAAACACACTACCCCTGTCAATGCCACTAGTACCGGCCACTCTATCCGTCATCATCACTCATATTATTGTACTGCTACAATTCTATCACGTCTTGAATTAGCCCTCTGATTGACTAATCCAAGACTGTGGCATACCTGTCATAGAATCTACATAGTATGTAGCCCAGTAAAAATTTTAATTTAGCCACGCCTAGAGTCAAAGAATATGTAATGTATGAAAAAATAAATTTATATATAAAAATCACGCTTTGAAACAAGATGTCAGTTTGTTTTTTTTTATGATCAGTGACATTTGACTACATGTCATTTTTATCATTGCTATTATAATATAGTTATCGCTATAAAATTAATTTCTTGTTTCCGTAGAATATCAAAGCCTATGCACACAAATCATATTTATTTCTATTATTTTTTTGGGTTAGAATATACTGCTATGAGTAATCTTCCAATTTTCTTAGATTGTGTGAATTGACATTTTGCTTAGCGCATTTATCGTAACTCTTCTTTGTTTCCGTATGATTCAGTATCACAATCAAAGTTTTATTGTATGAAGTGTAGATACGTTCTCCGTTGTCTGTTGTCTATGTGTTTCAGCAGGCCTACCGCGTGACGAAATTAGCTTAGATTTGATTGATACCCTACACGAATTCATCTAATAATATATTTTTTTAGTTTCTTATTTTATGCTCTCTAAAGGGCGTTGTAGCTGTTAATGTAACGGCACATAGCCTTTAGCACGTGGATAAAAAAAACGCTTCTAATGGTATCTCATTTGTCCAGCTACGATAAGTAACTAGTTTCGAAGTTAGAAGGGAACAGATGAATGTTCTTACATACATTATACATACCGGCCAAAATCATATCCCTCCTTCCCGTTTTGCCGTAGTCCGGTGAAAATTAATTGTTTTTGGGAATATTAATTGCTTCATTTTTATTGTAAGAAACAAAACGAACTTATGTAACGTCAATAAAATAAGAAGAGTTAATTAATCATATTATTATGAAGAGAAGAAGTGTGATCAAATTGGATATCCTATGCCACAGGCAAATATATTGCTTTCAGACTCTAATATAATCTATATGTGGTCCAGTACCCGGTCACCTTGCGTTCTCAATTTTCGAATTAGATTTCAATATAAAACATAATGCAAAGTAGACAATCTCTCGATTTATCGGTCAACAGATTGTCTACTGTAACAATAACGACAACGACCAATGTCGGACACAGATAGGTCGTTGTCGGCTGATCAGGGGGCCAATTCTACTAAATAAATTTTGTTTGAATAGAATCGAAAACGGATCGAAGCCGAACGAAACTACAGTTTTTAATGGTTTTCTAACCATTAAAAACATAAAAACGATGCAATTCCTATTTTATATATAGTCCTATTTTAGCTGGAATTGTATCGTATGTCACTTAGTAGAATAGAAAAACCATTAAAAACTAGTTTCGTTCGGCTTCGATCCGTTTTCGATTCGATTTAAACAAAATTTATTTAGTAGAATTGGCCCCCAGTTAAACATTTCGATGATCGATGAGGTTACCAATTCACCAGAATGAGTAAGCAGTTCGAAGGAAAATAAAACATATCTCAAAAAGATTTCCGCAACATAGTTTCTAAAATAGAAATTAAATGAAAAGAAATATACTCTCATGTTAGAACAAGTTTAAAATAAATTCGCTTGGTATTTATACATGAAGCTAGAATATATCCGTTGCATCCTTTAAACTACCGTTATTTGTAATAGGAGTGGTAAGATATAACCATAGTATAACCAGATATAACGAACTCACCGTTTGGAGGAATATCGCACTAGTCTATACTAATATTATAAAGTAGAAAGATTTGATTGTATTTTCATTTACATTGAATAGGCTCCGAAGCTACTGGACCAATTTTAAAAATCTCTCACCCACGGGAAGCTATATGCAGTAGACATAGGCTATATTGTTTCACCTACGGGAAATGCGATGGACATAAATTAAATTTTATCCCGAAAAATAGCAATTAAAGGGATGCAAATGGGAGTGGAAGTTTGTATAGAAAATTAAAAAGTTACAACAATATAATTATATAGTATATGATAAAATGAATTATTAAAATAAAATTCTGGATTAACATATGAGCTACTTTTTATCCCACATAACAATTCCATAGGGTGCACGTGGGCGAAGCCGCTGGCAGAAAGCTAGTGGTACATATATTTATAAAATACTGCGAGAAATTATACATAACGCGGATATAATTTGTTGTTTATGTCTCCAAGTAAATCCAAACCCGTATTCGAATTCCCTCAGGTGTCTGAATTCACTTCGAAAAGCGGCATCCGCTCAGTCTTAAATTGGTAATAACTTTTTGTGGCATAAGTGTGGAACAGGAATAAAATATCTGAGACACATATAATCAACCCATTTTCTTCTGTAATTTTATACAAAAAATGGTATCAATAGCAGCAGGAATCGTGCTTATACCATTTCCCCGACGAATAAAATTGGTAGTCGACCAGTAACCAGTATTAAAAGAATAAGGAGTATAGTATAAAACCTCTTTTACTATTTCAATAAATCGCCCCTTAAAAAAGAATAAGTGTTGTCATTTTCGACTTTTCAATATTTGGAAATCGCACCCACAATCATAAGTGTTGCAAATACCTTTGAAAAGTCATTAAAAAACAATACAAAAATAAAAAAACAATAAAAAAACACACATAATTTATATAACGTTATACAACTGCAACAAAACGATAATGTAGGTAACAACCATTGATACCGCGGCCGGTACTATTGACATCTTCAGAGGCATAGCGGTCACCAGTCGTGCCTGCAGTGGTTCCATATGCACCATACGTATAAAGTCATGCATTGCTTTCTTTCTCTTGGTTGTGGGATCTAGAAACACCGTTGTTTGGATTATTATTATCATCATCATGATTCTATTATAATCCCCATTGCTGGTCAGATATATGAATGGAAAGAGGAAGAACGAACACATGGAGTTTAGTTTGGATCGGTAGGTGTTAACGAATATAGATACGGCCAGGACCAACCGTTTGACGTAGCATATAAAACACAGAAGAGTACTAGTTAATAAAATTTGGTCAATTTTTTTTTAAACAAATAGTTATAGAACTATGCCGTCGGAACAAAAAAGATCAAACGACCTTTCCATTGTATTATCGAACTCCTCATAATTATTATACCTACTTATTATAATTATAACGTTGTTACAACGACATTATACTAAATTCTACCATGTGCTGGATATTTCACCTTTTTTTTATGGGAAAGGGGGCAGACGAGCAGACGGATCACCTGATGGTAAGTGATTACCGTCGCCCATGGACACCTGCAACACCAGAGGGGCTACAAGCGCGCTGCCGGCCTAGGAGGGAAGGGTTGAGGGGTAAAGGGAAGAGAATAGGGTGGGGTTGGGCCTCCGGTACCCTCACACGATGAAACACAACGCAAGCGTTGCTTCACGTCGGTTTTCTGTGAGGCCGTGGTATCACTCAGGTCGAGCCGGCCCATTCATGCCGAAGCGTGGCTCATTTAACATCTTTAGAGATCCCGGACTGATTATTCTCAATCAATCAATAATTGAATCGCGAGTACTTCATCTCACATCACATCTCTTTTTTTTTACTATATTATACTATTACATATACTATTATACTATATTATACTACATTACCGTTTTAAATAAAAGATGTAAGTAATCTTTTATTTTAAACGGATCTGGATCTAACTTACGTGTTAATAAAAGGATTTGTAATTTTGCCAGTGACTTATTGAATGCTGTCCATGATTTTTGCAGATTTTGACCGGCGCGCATAATCGATGCCAACAGAATACAATATAAAGTTGAATCGATAATATAAATCGCTGCAACGTTACCTAGGAATCCTTCCAGTCCCTGAAATAGGCATAACAAAATTGCCGAACTGAATCAGTTTTACATATCGTATTCCTTCTCAGACACATAGGAATGGGGATTTTTAAACATTCCTTAACATAAATGTATAGCATATTAACACCAAGTTGATCACTATAATAAAAATTAAAGAAATTTAGTATGTAGTTACGAATTAACCGTATTTTTGGTCATATTTTTGTGGTTTTACCTGATCCATTGACCTCAGTAATGTTTTTACAGTCTAAAATAGCAATTTTTAAAAAACAAACTGTAAAATATGGCCAAACTAGGAATGGAAATTAAATAAAAATCAAAATAACAGCACGCTTATGCAAGGTAGAAAATTTTCTTTTTAGCCATTTGTCCGGGACAAATAACACCATTATAGCTATAAACTTACTTATTCATTTTGCAAATACCAATTCATATAATAGATTTCCAATGGATATTCAATGTTAAAAATGTAGAAGGTATTCATTAAATTATTAAACAATTTTTCTGTAGAATTTTAATGTTTTTATAGCAATTCACCGCTAAATAAATAAATTTAGCCCTGTTGACGCTAAGTGGACTAAACATATAGAAGACTGTATGCATTTTTTGATGTACGAATGTGATATAGGTTTATAGATAGTTTCCATCTCACCGCTTCCTCTTTCTCGATCAAATGAATAAAGTATAGTTATAACTAGTATGAATTAACATGACACCTATTTTTTTTGTCCTCGAGGGAAAATTCTGAAAAACGAACGAATCGTTCAAATAAAATTGTTTGTACTTCAAGGGCAGTGTCCTATCTCCGTGGCATCGTAAATTATCGAAAATTTCTAATCATGAGTACGATTTGCGAAAGGGTTTTCCCAATCTTATTTACCATATTTATTATTTCTTCTATCAACTCCTTTATACCGAAAATGTAGAATATTATAAATGCCAGCAGAGACGATAAAATCTGTAAAAAATATAAATATATTATTTACAAATCAATCACATAATAAAAAAAAAATATGTAATCCCATATTTATAAATTGCTAAAGGTCTCAATATGCCTAGATGTTTGTAATAGGCCTAGATGTTCGATATTGCTCAGTCTAGTTAATCATCATCATCATAAACCCTTTTACGTCCCCACTCCAGGGGCTCAGGCCTTCCTTATGGATGGTCAAGGAGTATGGGCCATGACCCTG